CACAAAAGAGGAAAGCGGCTAGGTAATACTTTGATTGTGTTTTCAAGCCGACGCTTTGGTTTTTCTGGCACTTGTGGCTTTGCCAAGCAGCCTGACATCCGGGCCATGGCAGTTGCCGCAATTTGTTCTATAGGTAGACATAGCATATTCTGCCCAAGTATTATGCCTTCTTTTGTGTTCAGGGAAGTCTCGAGGAGCTGCAATTTACTTGCTAAAAAACATAGGTCTTCAAATAGGTTACCACTTTGACATTAAGTGACAAGATTTGCAAGATGACAGATGATGTGACATACATTACATGGATAATTCGCTTAATGCCAATGCTTATGTCAAATTGGATTGGCTAAAGTAAAGGAATTCCTAGGGGAAATTCTCTAATCCTTCAGTATGAAGGAACAAAAACGTCGATAATGACACTATATTTTAAATCTGCAAGTGTAACTTTGAGACCAGGAATTTTATTAAAAGGTAACAAGTTTAGGCGCTGTAGTCCAGTCTCCATCAATCACTGACCCATCTTTTGCATTCTAACTCTGGGGTCGTACTCTCGAGAGTTATATCAGAGAAGCGAATTCAAGTGAACTGAGAGCACCATTTTTAACCACTGTTAGTTCAAGAGAAAGTTTAACACCAACAAAACGAATTCCAGAATTCAGTTCGGCACCACGGATTGACTAACGTGGTAATGCAAGACCTTGTACGACTACTAACTAAAGGTGTCTCCGATTCTTACAACTTACAACCACTTGTACCTTGTGTACACTTGGAGATGGTATTATTAACCGATTGCGGTAAAATTGAAGAGACATCAGGATTGAGGAACCACCGCAAGGACTCCTGCTGTTGAAGGATTTTCAGATAAGATGGTAAGAGCCACCACGGTGCTTCGATACTCCTGACAACCCACGTGGGAAGATGTCGGCCTAATTACCATGGGAAGTGTTCACTATGACCCAATTGAAGACTGCTGAGGTGGCGGTGTTAGCATTGAGTTTGGTTGCTGGGGTTCGCAAAGGTTTGGCCTCCCACGCTCCATTTACCGTGCTAATATCGATTGACCCCTGACCCATTATCTGTCCACATGGCATGGGGAGAGGTAAAATTGGACCATGGCAACTAACATCTAGGGCAATCGACTATGAAGCGATTGCGTCCCCCTTCTGGGTAGCGAGGTAGCCTGAGGAAGCATATTCACTTCTGATTGAGTAGCTAGTATTGCTTGGCCCTACACTTTTATAGCTTGTCAGGTTTCTACCGGAAAGTAACCGTATCCTTCTAGAGTGGTGATTTTAGACTCTCCCAGGCACCTGCGAGGCTATGTTAATTTCTGTCAGAGTTTCCCATTCGCTTCGTGAAAGAAGGACTAGATGTAATGCTTTACGGGACAAAAAGAGCGAATCAAAACAACAATCCCTCCCCATAACAGAATATAGTGAAAGTTTGCCTTTCCATGAAACGCCAGGGTGCATATCACACTAGCCCAAGCACTTGCACCGACCCTGCGCCATCCTACAACGTGACTACCAAACAGGTATTCTTCGTGGTGCTTCTCTTTTATGTAGCCGCGTGGGCACCCGACAAGGCAGCTCTATAAACCGGTGAGGGTAGAAGAAGGGATGAGGGTAACCTGATGTACAAGAGAGATGAGAGAAGGCTAGCGACACTGCATGAATTCGGAGTAGAAACACTCAACCCAAAAGCGGAGTCGCATTTGCGCACACTTAGAATAGGTGAGAAGAAGACGAGAGAAAAGGTACCTAGGTAGACATGGAATCTAATATTGCTCTTCCTTTTCTTCATCCTTATTTGCCTCTTCCATTCCTTCGTCCTTATCTCTCTCTTCCTCTTCTCCATCCTTATAGCCCATTTCCTTCCCTTCCCCTCTATGCTTTTCTTCATCCCCATCTCTTTGCTCCCCTGTAGAAACTAGGGTGATGGAATAGTTGGTAAACTCCTTCGAGTTGTTCAGGATGCCATGAGCATTAGCGAAGAGGTTAGCCACCGTCTTCATCTCACTCATTCGATCATCCATATAAAAGTCAACTTGGTCCTCTTCTTCCTCCTCCTCTTCATCTTCTTCTTCCTCCTCTCCCTCTCCCTCGGCTGCCGTCTCTGCCTTGGCCGCACGACCCCCTTCTTCCTCCTTAGACTCCTCCTTCTCAGCCTCGTCGTCCAAGTCCTCGGAGGTCGCGGTGTCCATGCGGAAGATCCTTGACCTCCCT